TTTTGCTTCGTTCTAGGGTTCTTTTTTTTTTTCTTATTTAAGTATTATGTATAGGAGTTTGGAAGCGTTTCAAGACCTGAAGTAAAATATCCTTAACAATAAAGGAAGTTTACAAGGAGATTAAATGATTATTCTAGTCCTGATGTTTAAAAATATATATATTATTTTCATTCTGTCTTTTTCTGGCTTTAGTACTCTGGTCAGTACAAAATAAATTTGATTTGTTGTCAACAGAATTTTTAATGTCCTAACTAATTGTACTACTTCAACTTTATTTTTATTTATTTATTTTTAAGATTTTATTTATTTATGAGAGACAGAGAGAGGCAGAGGTGGAGAAGCAGGGTCCCTGCGGAGCAGGGAGCCTGATGCGGGACTCGATCCCAGGACGCTGGGATCATGACCTGAGCCGAAGGCAGACACTTAACCGACTGACCCACCCAGGCATCCCTACTTCAACTTTATTTTTAAAGACTAAAGGATAGGTGCCTGCTTCAAATAGAGTTCGAGATTACTGCTATAATTGGCTGTGAAGTTTACCATTACTGGTTGCATATCCCTTAGTTTAGACACCTTAGCAGTTATTTTACATTCCTGGCCTTGTAATTTAAGGACTTGCATTCTAATTGAAGTATAGCTGAGAAAAACAGTAGGCTTCCTATAAACCAGTTTAGTTTCTATGATTCAGTAGAAGTGTTTTAATGCTAATAAAAATATTGTAGAAAATTTTCAAGATGTTGCTACCATTTCTTTACTATATTACAAAATTCTTGGTGTTGGTTCAGAACTGTGTGTGAAACTATATTATTCCCTGTATGCAGAATATCTTACTGTTTTCTTCCATCTGCCTCAATATTTTCCACAATTGGCATAGCCAAAATTAAAGTGTAATAGAACAGTCATTTTAAAAAGATGTAAGGGTAGGGCATCTGGGTGACTCAGTTAAGTATCTGCCTTCGGCTCAGGTCATGATCCCAAGGTCCTGTGACTGAGCCCAGCATCCGGCTCCCTGCTCAGCGGGAAGCCTGCTTCTCCCTCTCTGCCTGCTGCTCCCCCTTCTTGTGCTCTCTCTCTCTCCGTCAAGTAAATAAATAAAATCTCTTTTAAAAAAACTTTATATCTACAGTGAACACCAATTATTTAATTCATTGTGCAGGAAACCCAGTTACAGCTTTATAAAAATCTGTAACACTTTGCATCCTAGACCTTCCAACTAAGATTAAATCATCTATTCATAACTATTATGTTGCTTAAATGCTTAAAAAGTATATTATTGGGAAAATTGGAAGAGAAAGTAAGCAAGGGAATTTCCAGAATTTTTTCCATCTCTAAATATACAGACTGGTCCATTTAGCAGTATAGAATGACAACCTTTACATTGTTTTTTAAAAAAAGATTTTATTTATTTGAGAAAGAGATAGCAAGAGAGAGTATGAGCAGGAGGTGGGGAGAGGAAGAAGCAGACTCCCTGCTGAGCAGGGAGCCTGACATGGGGCTTGATCTCAGGAGGATCATGACCTGAGCTGAAGAAAGACGCTTAGCTGACCCAGGTGCCCCTTACATTGGTTTTTAAATGAGTTGTATTAATATAGAATAAAGTCACGAACAAGATACTGTCTTTAAGGACAAATAGCTATTGAGAAAAAAGTAGAAATTTCTCCTTTATTTTAACCAACTGAGCCACCCAGGCGCCTGCTAAATTTCTCCTTTATTTTAAAGTGTTGGAAGATTACCAAGATTGTAAATAATTTGAGATAACAGAATACTGGCTGAACATTATTTTGAAAGGGAACTTTTGCATGTATTTTTATGATGACATTTATCTCCAGGGAAAAAAATTAGAAATGCTTTTCTGAACACATAATAAGTTGAAGAGCCTCTTCTAGTTACATATATTTTATGATGAATTATAGATTCTATTTTATGTCAGCTCTGTAAGTAAGAGCTAAGGGGAGAAAAACCCTGGAGACACAGAGCAATGACATGTTTTCCAGTTCATTAAAAATGAAGTCTCCATCTGGAATTGGACTGTTGTTTCTTTTTGCACCTTGCCTAAGGAGAGAACGTGATAAAATAAAACCACTCCAAGCAATCCCCATTAACTCTACTGTGTAAATGAACTACATCTCCTTTTTCAGAATATAAATAGACTTTTTTCTTTATCAATAGTATGAAATTGCTAATGGAAAACAAAGTATTGACTTTCTCAAATTATATTTTTCCTGAATTTTAAAGTCTATCAAGTAGCGACAGTGCTTTGAATTTGGTCCCTACTCTCCTTATTGGTGTGGTAAAAATAAAACAAGAATAGAAATAGAAAAGAAAACCAGGGAAAGAAAAGGGCTTCACAAACAAATTTGGCATTACTCTGTCTTTAGAATCTTAAGAAGATTAAGGAGAATATTGATGGGGATGAATAAATAGTGAGAATCAATTTAAAGAACATTTATTAGGCCCTACAGTACACCTGGAACTATGGTAGGCACAGTGCATCAAAAGAAATTGGCTCACTTGGTTAAGCGTCTGTCTTTGGCTCAGGTCAATGATCCCAGAGTCCTGGGATCGAGTCCCTCATTGGGCTCCTTGCTCAGTGGAGAGCCTATTTCTCCCTCTGCCTACCTTTCCCCCTGCTTGTGTGCTCTCGCTCTCTTCTTGCACAAATAAATAAATAAAATCTTTTTAAAAATTTAAAAAAATTGTTGCCTGGTCTATGTCTGGTTATAAAACAAGATAAATGTGAAACCAGCTAGCAATGCTAGCTTTGTAGCACCTACTCTAAGCCAACCATCATGTTAATAAGTATTAGGAAATAAAGATAAACAAGCAATAAAAGCTTACATTTAATGGATAAGCACTGTGTCAGTCTGCTAGCCACTTTTCATGGATTATTTCATTTAATCTTCAGAACAATCCTAAAGTAGATACTATTATCCTCATTTTTTTCCAGTGGGTATATTGACACTTAGAAAGGTTGAATAACTTCCTGAAGGTCAAATAACTAGAAGGAACTGTGGTAGGGATAGGATTCGAACCAAAGTCATTTAACTTCAGAACCAATGAATGTAACTGCTATACTCCAAAATTCTTGACATTGAGGAACTTACAGTCTTTGGAGAGGGAGGTAACCCCCTGTAAAGATAATTATAGGAGAATACATTGAGAGCATTTTGAAAACTATTAACATTGTTGTGAAACAATGAGAGAGCCTACCAAGTCTGCAGGTCAGAGAAGCTTCACAGAGGTGGTCACATTTGAGCAGGTCTTGAAGGATGAACAGGATTTTACCAGAACTTGAGGCCAGAGCATCTGAAGTGCAATAAAGTAAAATCACTAAGGACTGAGGTTAAAGGAAAACATTTGGGAAGGGAAGAGTTTTATGCCAAAGTTAGAGGTTGAAATAAAAGTGCAGCAAAAGAGGTTTGGTGGTGGGCATATGCTGATTGCACATGGTGTTCCCTCTGCTTGGAATGCTGCTCCTGCGGCCTTTCTGCCTATCCAATTCTTATTTATCTTTCAAGACTAGACTTCTGTCAATTCCTTTGTGAAACTTCCCAAACTGTCTATGTGGGCAAGTTATCTAACCTCTCTGAGCATGAATGTTCCATTTGAACACCTGTCTCACAGGATAGTCATAAAAATTAGGTTTAAGTGTATCTGTAAGTTTTCTGGCACATAGTAGATGCTCAATATTTATGAAATGCATAAAAAGCCAGAATTGGCTTGGTGTTTAGAAGGCTGAACCCTAAGAAGTTTTGAACTGAAGGAGCCATCTGTTAGGACTTCTGAACCTTCTTACATTTTCCTTAAATCATACCAAGGATCTCTAGTTCTCTGAGGTTCCTGAAGCTAAGAGGTCTTTTGCTTTATATATTAAATTTTATATGCCTTGTACATAATGTTTGTTAGTAGTCTTTCTCCCCCATTCATCCTTAAGCTCCTACAAGGGCAGAAGATGTAGTTCTGTTTTGTACACTGTTTTATACTCAGCAAAAATGCCAAATAGTTTGTAACTAACGTCTATTTGTTCAATGAATGAATGATGGATGCATTGCAACTATCTGTTGTATGAATGAATGATTCTCTTTCTGGTCTCCTGTTTAGACTCTTCGCCTTTAAATTCCTGGAATACAAATATAAAACAGATTTAAGGCAGAGAAGTTGCTTTCTATTCTTTTCAAAACAGAAGTGCAAAAGCATGTTTCCTAAGTGTGATGACATTAACAGAGAGTGACATCTGCTGGTTGCTTGTTAGACAAGACAGTTAAGTGTTAAAAAGTGAATAATAAAGTGTAATAAATTAGACTCCTAGATATGACAAGGTAAGAATGATAAAATAAGGTAGTAGAAATAAAAAGAAAACGTATTTTAAATTTCCACCCTAGAAAAATTAAAAAAAAAAATGCTGGTTGTGGGTTTTCAATTCACTGGACTTTTAAAAGAAGCAGTAGATTCTTTCTCTCTCTCTTCTTTAAGTAGGCTCCCTATCCAGCGTGGAGCCCAACGATGGGCTTGAACCCACAACCTGAGATCAAGACCTGAGCTGATATCAAGAGTCCAAGGCTTAACCGACTGAGCCACTCAGGCTCCCCAGGAGTAGATTCTTTCAAAAATGGTTTTTACAAAAACTGCAACACAGCCAACTGGTGGCGGAGAAAATGAATTGATTCGGTCTGAGAAAAGATCCTGACTTGAGATGAGATGCAACTTCAAAGGGGGCAATAAGACGACTCAAAGGTTGCCGTATTTTGCAAAACCTTCCGGGTTACAGGAAGACTTTATTCCCAAAGCAGGATACCTCTAAAGTCTGTCGGAAACTGCCTGGGGAAAGCCGGTAACTGCCGACACCGCACGTTGTTCAGAGGACAGAACTACTTACTGAGGGCTCAGGGCCCGGGAAAGAAGCAACTGAGAGCGACTCTCGCGGACTGGTTGGATCGCACGTTCGGCCTCAGATTGGTCGAGCCTGCCTGGGCTGCGGGAAAGAGGGGGGAGCGGAAGCGCGCTCTTTCAAACTCGCCGGGCAAACGTCGCTGCTGGTAGGCCACTTCCGGCGTAGCCATGGCGGCTAACGCTACTACTAACCCGTCGCAGCTGCTGCCTCTAGGTAATCGTAGGGAGGGGGACCGGAGCGTTCAGGTTAAGTGTTGGGGGCCAAGGGGCTGCGGCTGAAGTAGCCCTTAGCCGAGTGTTAGAGAAATGTGTGGATGAAGTGCTTTACCCCTCCGCGGCTCGTCTCTGGGCCCCCAAGTCTCTGTGGCCCCGGGCCGCCCATGCCTTTTCAGCGTGGTAGGGTTCCTTGAGGCGGGGACCTGTGAGTCCCCAACCAAACCGTCACCCGAAAAGGTCCACACGTAGTAAATGCGTCTTCGGCCTTCTTTGTTGTGGGCTCGCCTCTACAGTCATGGGTAGCACCCCCACTCCACCTGGCATTTAAGTTCTCCAGATTAGACCCTGTTGTATGTCTGACTGGTTATTGAGAGAAGCACCGGCACCTGGAATGACCCTAAAAGAGAGATCTGGAAACTGGTTTTGTTATTCAGCAGTTACCGAGCCTCTATGCACTAGACACATGGCTGGGCTGGGCACTATTCGACAAATTTAAATCACACCCATTGCCTTCAGATAGCACACAAACCATTGGAGGAGATAGAACACTGGACAAGTAAACATCATGCCAAATAATTGCTAAGCCAGCTAAAGAAATGTTCAAACTGCTGTCAGAACACAGAGATAGTGACAGGAAGAAATCTCTGGTGAAGATGGCTGTGCCTGTCTCTTCCAGTATTTTGTAGCTGAAGAGTTGATTGAGTTATTGGAGGTGCTGTGACTTAAAAGTTTTCATTCCTTCGTTCCACAAACTCTTTTTGAATGCTTGGTATATGCCAGGCATTGACCGTTGAGGATATAGTCATGGGAAAACAACCACAGTCTCTGCTCTCATGGAGCTTAGACTCTGAGGGGAGGGGGTTCATATGTTAATCAAATAACCTAAAATAACATAAAACCACAATCGTGCTAAATTTCAACAAAGGAGAGGTAAGTGGTAAACAAAATTTTTGTTAATTATGCAACAGGGATATGTACTATAAGATCTAAAGTTTTTGAATGAATACTTTTGCTGGTTTATCTTTTACCATATGCAAGTAACAAGTGCCAGTAGGCACTCAAATATTTGTTGAAGTAATGAATAGGTAAAATAATCTTTTTCCTCTCCCCATTCTCTCTCTCTCTCTCTCTTTTTTTTTTTTAAATATATATATATAGAGCTTGTGGACAAATGTATAGGATCAAGAATTCACATTGTGATGAAGAGTGATAAAGAAATTGTTGGAACACTTTTGGGATTTGATGACTTTGTCAGTATCCTTTTAAAAGGTGGTGGTGGTATGGGTTTTTCTTCAGTATTTAAGAACAGAAATAATATTGACAGTACTTACTGATTATTATAATGAAAATTTATTCTCAGCATGATAGCGTTCTAAGAGGTGTGTATACTGAAAGAAGATAAAAGTTTCTACCAAATACAAGTATTCTGTATTTGAGCCATTGTGTTAAACACTGTAATAACACTGAATAAAGGTAGAAACCAGAGTAAATTCAACCTTAACACCAAATTTCAGATATGGTACTGGAGGATGTCACTGAATTGTGAGTAGTGTTAAAAATTAAAGAAATGGTGGGGGGGGATCTCTCTTTAAGTCAATTTTAGTATTAATGAGTTTCAAATGATTTATGAAGAAGCATTGCTTGTTGGAAATACCTTAGAGATAGAAATTTTATCTACGGACGCTGGTAAAATTGGATCCTGCAGTGATTACCATGATGTAATTATTAATGAATTGTTAGGAAGTTAATGGAGACAGAGCTTTAAGACAAAAACTAAAAACAGCCAAGGCTGTTTGGGCTCAGGGAAATCAAGGTACTGATAGAACATTTCACTGTGTAGCATAAAATATAAACGATGGCTCCATTATATTAGTTTTATTTTTATTTATTTTTATATTTTATTTATTTGATAGAGAGAGACACAG